ATAATGAGAAGAAGCAAGTCCCACTGCCCCCTAAAAAGGACATGGGTTTAAATGTGTACTGTTAAATGCTATATAGACTTCTCAAATCTCAATATGGTATTTGGTTGGTATCTGGCATCTGGTTTTACACGTCTGCATGTAACAGAACATCCGGCAATCTGTTTAAGGATAGTCATTATGAAATATTAAAGGGCCAGTGTGTAATATTTGGCATGGTTTATTGTCAATCTGAATCTGAATCTGAATATTCTACCCATTAATATATTTATACAAGTGTATAATCGCTATAAAATAAAATTCGTTTGGACAATCCAGCCAGCCAGAGAACACGTTTCGCGTGTATAAATAAACCAACGAAGAAGACAGCGGAAGGAAGGAAGAAGGAGGAGGAAACAGCAGAGTGTTAGTAGTTCGTTGATAGAGAGTAGTGAAAAGTTTTTTTAGTTATAAAGTTTGCGAATGGACCACACTTAACACGCAACAGGAGAGAATGAACCCGAACCGTCATCTGTGAGGAAAAGAAGACGCAACTTCACTCCTTGTGATGCACTCTCTGCGGCGCTTTTCCTCCTGATGATATATCTCCCCAACGATGGTAGCAGTAGCACCGAATCCCATTCTGTGCATTCAGCCTCTCTTCTCGCCCGCTCAGCATCAAACACATGGAGTTCCTCATCTGTATGCTCCGGCTCAAACAGGTATAGCTCTGGGTCTGTGTCCGCTACAACAAACTCTTCAAAATCGCGTTCAAAGTCGTCCATTGCAGCTACTATAGTCCGGAGATATTGCTAGGCTAAATAAACAGCTGAGCTCTGTTTACCGGCTACGCTGTCAGTCAGTGTGTGGGCTGGAGGTTGGTGGAGCAGAGAGGGGAGGGGGGTCCCCACTTGGTATGGTAAACGAGTATGTGTGTAAAGTTATGAAGTGTGTCTGTTACGCTAGAAGAGTCAGAGTTTGAGATGGAGTCTTTTACCCCCTGGAGTGTTACCGGAGTTTCTGGAGTGCTCAAATAAACAGGCCTTTTTCCCGAACGTTCCTCTGGTCTCCTGCTCGTGAGTGATTCATTACAATATTGTAACATGGCTTAGATTTCTAAATAAACATTCACCTCGTCGCTAGATAGACCTACTCCTGAAAAACTCGTGCGCAAGGCTTTTTGTACCTACGAGGCCACCGTCATTTACCCGACGGGAGGGGTGAGCGAGTGAGCCCTGCAATCTAGAATTTGACCACTGATGTCATTGTTTTCAGTGGGGGATTTTAGCTGCATTAAAAAAAAGTGTCTCTTGATCACTTTCCAACAAAGTAAGTTTTTAAAAGCCAGGAATAATCATAATAATCAAACACATTTACACGAATCAGCCACAACATTGAAACCAATGACAGGTGACGTCAATAACACTGATCATCTCATTACTATGCAATGTTCTGCTAGGAAACCTTGGGTCCTGGTGTATGTGGATGCCACCTAATACACTCCACCCACCCAAATACTGTTGCAGACCAAGTACCCCCCCCCCCATGGCAAGTTGGCAACTGCACTCCATAATGGCAGTGGCCTCCCAGGAGGACAATGCACCATGCCACTCTGCAAAAACTGCTCAGGAATGGCCAAAGGAACACGACAAAGAGATTAAGGCGTCAACCTCGCCTCCAAATTGCCCAGATCCCAATCTGAGCAAGCATTAATGGGACGTGTTGGTAACCCACATCACAACCCACAGGACTCAAACGATGTACTGCCAACGCCCAGCCACCCAGACACCACAGGACACCCCCGGAGGTCCTGTGTCCATTCCTCAACGGGTTAGAGTCAAGTCTCATCCAAGGAAGGTAACTCTGGGGTACTGGCATGTCCCATGGATGGTCAATCAGATTGGTATCTGGGCAATTTGGAGGCCAGGTTTCAGAGAGTACCATTTCCATGAGGGGGTGTACTTGGTCTGTTTGGGTAGATGGAGTGCGTCATATGGCATCCACATGAATGCCAGAACCCGGGGTTTCCCAGCAGAACACTGCACTGTAACACAATGGCCAATGTTATTCACTTCATCTGTCAGTGGTTTTAATGTTTAGGCTGATCGGTGTATATACACCCAGTTCTGTTGGATAAAATAAGGGCTTCTGTGTAGATTTGAGATAAGTTGATGGAAACTTTGCGTTGCCCACACAACTGGACTGGACAGAAGCATCGATGCAGCGTACTCATTTTTCAAACTGAGATGAAGATAAAAGTTGTGTGTGCCCAAAATGTAACCAAACAAGAGATAAGATATTCTCTTTGGGGAACATTTCTAAATGTGGAGCAGATAGCTCAATTAAGCCTCTGTATTTCCTGACAATAATGGCTTGTTTGGGAACTCAACATCAGCAGATACAGTCCAACTAAACCAAAACTTTTTTTGTGACTCACCAGTACAAAAGACATACCTATGTATAATGTAGATAACAAATGAACATGTTTTCTTCATTCCTTAAACTGGAAAATTTATGAATTTGAATGTGCGTGTGTGCTGACGTGCCTATGCTCATGAGTTTGTCCATTTTGCTGATCTCAGCAGCTCCTCAGTGTACAGCGGGAAATGTCTGTTAAGACAACACTTAGTGGAGTATGTGAACAAACATAGCATGTGACAGATAGTGCTGTGGACAGTTCAGCAGTAAATATGTCAGATCAGACTGATAATGTTACACTATTTCCACTGCCCTTTTTTTATCGTTTCCTGCTCCGATGGCATTGGCTATGTTTTTACAGTGTATGATGTCTAACAGTGATTTTGAAAAGCGTAAGATGAACATAATTAAACAAGAGGTATGTCTATAGCTGTAATAAAGTCAGTTAACCTACTGGTGCCAGCTGGATCAGAGAGCCAACAAGCTTGTGGGTTTTCTGTAGATTGGGGTGGGGGTCTGTGGTGGCAGGAAGTTCGGTTTTGTTCATATGTGCCAGAGGAACACTCAGAGGGTTTGAGGAAGGTCAAAACACAAAACAACTCTGCGGAGCACAATTCAACTGGCTGGTTCTTTAAGGACAAAGCTGTGGACGAATTTCACCTCTGATGCTGGAACAACTTGCTAGCAAAAACATAGAATAAGTGGAGTTCCTGAGTTCTTGTATTGTCTCAACGAAGCACATGAAGAACAGAAAGAAAGACTGTGTGTGTCCGAAAACTGTGACCTTGTCTCTCTAAGATGCTGCCTCAGCAATTTCAAGCAATCTGGCTGTGGGAGCCTCAAACAAAGCAGACTTGCTGCTGAAGTGAACAGAGCAGAGCTGGACTCCGGTCAGCCTGACACCCTGCCAGACCACCGGCTCCGAAACCTGAATGAGAAGCAGGAGGGAGGTCTAGACATGAGCAGGCAGGTGGGGAGACAGCCTGACTCCCAATTAAAAACAGTAATGAAAAAAGTAATTTGCAACAACAACCTATTCAATGCCTGTATTTTTTCTAAAGGGGTATTTTTATTAGCTGCAACCAGCAGCTCTGTAGGTCATTCTGTCAGTTAGTCAGTCGGTCAGTCAAAAAAAGTTTCCCCACCCTTCAGCATAGTTTTTGCCCTAGGAGGCTGAAATTTGGCATGAGGTCAAGTGTGCGTGTGTGTGTGGGTATGAGGGTGTGTGTTTGTGTTCATGCCAATTGGTTAAAAGGGTGGATGGGAGGCAGTGGGAGTCGCCTATAATAAAAAGGCGTATAAGGTGTATAGGTGGGAACTCAAAACTGTGGAGACTCTGGCTCTTGAAAGATGGCAGCCATATCCGGGACATTTTGGGTTCATTTTTGTACAGTGGGAGGAAGTGGAGATGCAATCTTTATAGTCAATCTAATACAGTCATTGTCGTCTGCCTATATAATGTAAGCAACAGAAGAAAAAAAATGCCCACTACAAGTACCCTGAGTCCATGGACTGCCTTAGCAACATCCAAAACCCAAAGATATCCCACTTATAATGATAGAAAACAAAGGAAAAATTCAGTTTTCTGTATTTTTTACTTGCTGCTACAAACAAATAATGGAATGGACGGAATACTTATGCAGTAATCATGTGTCTGAGAGGAGAGGAGAGGAGAGGAGAGGAGAGGAGAGGTTATCAGCTGAACACGTTGCAGTAATGTGTATGTGTGTTGTATTGCACTACTGTGTCTTTTCCCTCTGGACAGCAGGAAGCTGAGGAGCGTGCAGGCAGGCAGACACTTGGGTCACTTCCAACGGGAAGTATCTGGGATGGGTTGTGACGGGATAAAATGTGCTGCCTCCATATTATATACAACACTCAGTTCCTATATATGCCCCTCCTTATGTTTCCTCTCTTACGTCGCCCCTTCCTTTCGTTTTAAACAATCTGGCGGTATCATCAAGATCACTAAATGTAACTCGTAAATCACTGCAATTAAATGGGAAAGTACACGTGTGCTTTCTCACAAGGAGCACATGGATGTCGGACATACCAGGCTGCCAATGAGGATGGATAAGTAATTTTGCTATTATTAGTGCATTATTCAATGATCCACTTTCTAATGGCTAAAACATGGGACAAAAACAAACAAATAACACACCACAGAAGTCCCCAACATCCTGGCAACAAGCCCTTAGGCATTCCAGCTTGTGCCAAGAATTAAATCTGGGGGGAAGATGATTACATATAAACTGAATCACAGCGTTTGTTTACAACAACTTCTGGGTAGAAACCCCAGCGTTATGCAAATACAATGAACAGCACTGAGCTAACATTGCCTCAGTTGGTAGGTTTTTAGCCACCGAAAAAAAGGCCCACCTAAAAAAAAAAAAAATAAATAAATCAGCTAAAAATTACAACAGAAACAAACAAATTTGCCGATTTCACAAATCCCTGCAATTGAAAAAAATCGGCAGTGGTCTACCTGGAAGTGTGACATCGTGGTGATTCAGTCGATGCTGCATATAGAAAAAGTGGACAACTACAGATGAAAAGTATGTGTGTGTGTGTGTGTGTGTGTGTGTGTGTGTGTACATCAAACCCACCCTCCTCTTCAGGCGATCCCTCTCCCTCAGCGTCAGCGTGTCGGCCTTGGCAATGACTGGGACTATGTTGACTTTGCTGTGGATGGCTTTCATGAACTCCACATCCAGAGGCTTCAAACTAGCAAAGAAAAAGATTATAAAAAAGAACAATTAGCACACAGTGGAAAACAGAGAAGAGCAGACACAGAGGAGTGGACAGCTCAGAAATCAAAGGTGACACCCAAATAAGGCAATATAATGACTATTGGTGTCTGTACAAGGGTTTGTTTGTTTACCCGTGTCCAAATGGAGATATGAAATAGAAGCAGCAGTGAACCCTGTTGTCCACTATGTGTCTTCGGTTAAGCCCGCTCTCATCATGGAGGTATCTCTCAAACTGATTGTCAATGTACTGGATGATGGTCTTGAAGCTGACATTAGAGGAAAACAGGCATAGAAACAGACACAAGTCTCCTTAATCACACCAAATAACCATGTAAACACTATTTGAACATCAAAACTGCAAAAGGCATTCAACACATCATTTTGAAGAATTATGTTTATGACTGATTAGCTGTGTGCATTCCATGATCTTCTAGGCAATTTTTTGCAGCAAAAACACCACTTAAATATGTTAAAACCCTACAATAGCACCTGACTTAACTGATCTCTGTCCAGTTAAAGAGCCTATAATGCACTGTGTGTGCATTTCTGAATCACAAAAGCCAAAGCTTGACTTATTTACTTTTAAGCATTAATTGTGTAATAATTAAGAAGGTAATAACAGACACATCCTGCACAGAGAACGCAAAGGGGAAGTTCTTCTGTCATTTCATCTTTGCAGTTGTATCTTCTGCAAAGAGAGTATGTGGGACAAGGAGTGTGGAGATACAGCTATACCAGGACAATCAACAGGAAATAGATCATGGACAGGGGCTACATTGACACCACTGCCACACAGGCAAACAAACACACACACACACACACACACACACACACACACACACAATTACACAGTTGAAGGACATGTACACATTGGGAATGCAGAGGGAGGAGAGGTAGGAAATAGGGAGTTTGAGATGAAACTTGAGAAAGGGAGTTGTGAGGACAGGAGGAAAGGATAAGAGAGCATGCTGGACAGGAAACATGTCCCGAGTTGTTATCACTCCCTACTCCTCCAGGACACATAAACACACCAGTCTTGGCTGTTGATGGCGTCGCCGTATCCAGGGGTGTCGACCACGGTGAGACGCAGCTTTACTCCTCGCTCCTCGATCTCCACAGTCGAAGCCTCAATCTGCACAGTCCTCTCAATCTTCTCTGTGGAGCGGAAGTACAAGAATAATTGATGGGTGGTATAAAAGAGGAGACACCACAGTACCCAAGAATAATAATTAATAATAATTAATAACAAAAAATCCTGCCCGAGCTAAGTGCTTATGCAAAGCGCTGAGCTGCAACAACCACAGGCTTCAAGAAGGTGGATGTACCTTAAAAAATGTAATTATGGGTTTTGTCATTTAAAAGAGCTACACTTTTTGTTATCCGCACAAACAGATCAGGGAGGGTCTGGATAATTGTTTTCAAGCCAGAACAAGTCCTAATCTAAGTCAAGTCATAAGAAAGGGAAGGAAGGGTCATATTTTGAGACTAAGGCATTCCCAACATTCCTCTTGAAATAATGCACTGCTGGAGACATTGCAGCAGACATTGCTCTATTATTACAGTGTGCATATTCGTGTGTGTGTGTGTGTGTGTGTACTGGGGAGTATACCTGCAGCACCAGGGATGTAGCGTTCAGGGTAGAGATCAGTGAGAAACAGGCTGTTTATAAGTGTTGATTTGCCTAAGCCAGACTCCCCTGAAAAACAAAGACGAATGGGAAAATAAACTTCTATTCTCTGAAGAAATAATATAGTCTACATAAAAATATAAAAGGGATCACTCACCTACAACCATTAGGGTAAATTCAAACCCCTTTTTCACTGACTTCCGGTGCACTTGGTTTGGGAGGTTGGCGAACCCTACATAACCTGTTGCATCTGGGAACTGCAGAGCACAAAAAGACACAAAATGAGGGTCAGAAACAGCAAATAATGGGACAATAATTATGTATTTTTAGTGTTACGTGATTTCCTATGTTTTACTACACACTCCTTTCACTCTCTGACATTTTTTCATCATTTTATGAGGTGTGTAAAGGTGCAAGTGAGTATATGAGAGTGAGATTGATGATGATGCATATCATTGAGAAATTCCACTGGGCAATAAAGCCTACCCATGAAACACTTAAACATTTATACAGGATATCCTCTCTGGATGCCTGTGCAAGCATGTGTGCATGAGATTACAAGTACCATGAGTCTTAATCACCACTGCCTTCTTAGGAACCCCTACTTAATACTCTGATGATTTGTCATAGTTCAGTTTATAAACTGTAATCTGGTGAAATTTCTGCCTATGACTCACCTTCCCTTTCTCTCCAGACTGAGACATCGCTGCAGTTTACTGGATGCCTGATGAGCCTGTTGGTGGAAAAAAAATAACAGATATGAATGTAATCTGATCACCTTAAAAACAGTTCAGAGTAACCCCCCCCCCCAGCAGCCGTTATTGATTTAAATCTTTCCACATAGAAATGTAATTCTTATGACAGTATTTCATTAAGTAACGATTATATAGCATGTCAGAGGAAACCGCAAGCTACCATAAGGTCAAGCTATGGTTGCGACTTTTTTTTCACAGAGAATGATGTGCAAAGTTATTAATAATGCTAATTCTTTTGTGCAACCAACCAATGTTGCTTTCAAACACACACACATAAAGCGGGATAAGCTTTTCTTTCTCTGTTTAGTCTGTTTGATTCTTAAATTGGTTGCTGTGGCCCGCACACTCTCCTGGAAGCATAATTTACAGTGTTAGCTGCACAAATGTTTTCGCAGTCAGTCTGACAATTGTTTGCAGCATTTCTTAGCCAAAACTTCTTTTTTTAAAGCTACCATAGGGATTTAGTTTGAATCTGTTGCTGAAAACTTTAAGATTGCTATGGCAAAATCTCTTGGTATAAATCGTTGTGTTGCTCACCTTAACCTAGACCCTATTTTCCCATATTTTGTGTTTAAGTGACTACTGGAAATAACAATATTGTATATTGCTCCTGTATTGGGTGAGAGTGCTGCAGCAGGCAGTGGCAAAAATAGGCTGCAATGTAACCACTCGGAGCATTTGTGCACCATTCTTGTTTTTGCCACTAAGAGACTCAGATTATTATTTTGAGTGTTAAATGACATTAGGGAAAGACTCCTTCCAAAAGTCAGACCTTTTTGTTGCAATATGATCACTTTTGATATCCAGAAACAGCCAGAAATCACTATCAGGAAACCTAAAAGACTCCATTTAAATGCACACAGCATAATTTATATAGCCAGTATATTTTCACATCTAAGTGGGTGAATTAAGGATTATTCTCAACCAAACTAGTGTTAGTGATTGCTAAAATAGTAAAAAGACAAGCCAAGATGTTTTTGTGAGTTTTATGTTGTTCATGTCAACACTGAATGAGGTGTGTTTTACTGTAATAAGATTACAGTTAATTCAAATGGAGTGTAATGGGTTTGGCAATAGCAATTTCTGTGCTGCTTCTGGTTAAACAAAAAGGATCCTACACATTAACAAAAAGGGTCTATCTCTGTAGGGATCCTTTCCATAATGTTGTCAGATGCTAAGAATAACAATTTGAGCCTGTAAGTGGCAAAAAAAAAAAAAAAATCACTTCTAGTTGACAGAACTGACCACACAACTTAAACATTACATTGCAGCCTGTTTTGTTCAATAATGGACCAGTTTTATAAATGTTGTTTCCATTAGTTAGTTAGACATAAAAACGTTAGGGGCCAGGTTGAAAAATACAGACGTTACCCTTTAAATTAGACTTTACAAGGCATCTATAGTCATAATATAGCAATCAGAGTATGAAAGTGCTCCAGGAATGAGTAAAACCAACTAAACCAACTAAAACCGGGAAAACATTTTTGCACTCGTGGTTCCCTTATCTTAAAGTTAATGGGTTTTTGGTTAGATGCCTGAAATAAGGTCTGTGGTTAAAACAAGCTTAAGAGACTTTCATTTTTTCATCTACGACATAAGATACGTCAATAAATACCCGACACGTGGGATTTGAAGCTTTTATGTGTCTTAAAAAAGGCAGTTGCTACCAAGTGGCTAAATGAGACTACAGAACATCATCATGTTGATCTGGCTTTACAGCTTCGTTGTGGTGGTGACGTTAAAGTCACGTGACCATTGTGTAGTTAGTTTATAGCCTAATGTTAGCTTTTTACTACTGGTGATTGCATTGACGCATCAAAAATCACAACAGTGGTGTTCATTTGTGAAGATTTTCCTGCTCAACAAAACATTTAACTACCATAAAGGTTTGTTTTTCATGGTTTGTCTTTTTGACAAGGAAAACAGAGCGACGCTAACATACTACAGAAAAACAGCGTCCCTAGAGCACTCTATAAGAACAGGCACTGAAGACCTTATCTTTATATCACAAACCATCATCATCACTATTATCTTCAAGTGGCTAATTTTTCTCAAGCAGAAATCACAAAACACAACTCTGCACATTGAGTCTACATTGACACGTTCAATCAGGCTGACGGCTACACTGTTCTTTTACACTATCACATGGAAGGAGCAGAGATTAAGAGCTCTGGGCCACAAGTGTGTTCCCAGACTCCCATTAAACTGTCTTGTATACCGGTTGCTCCTGCCCCATTCTATGACCCTGAGCAGACGACAGAGCAACAATCTCGCTTGATAAATTAGCTACATAATGACTGAGCAGGAAGAACAGGCTCCATTTTATCACCAACACACTGGCCCTTGACAGGTGGAGTGTGATAAGCATAAGAAAGAGGCAGGCTGCCGTGCGCTGCCAAACGGAGATGCACTCAGGTTATGTAATGGTAGTTGGAGGGGAGGGAAAATAGGTGGCATGGGAACCTGGGTTGACCTTTCTCCATTGGCATGCGACAAACACACAGCTGCGGACACTTGGGTAACCATTTCACACTGTTAAATCTATTAGATGGTAGTCAGGGGGCCCTCTGTATCTACATGAAACTGGGCAGAGATCTCTCATACTGACAGGGTGGTTTCATTGGGCCTGCGGGGAGAACAATAGCTGTTTATCCTTTTGGATCCTGAAGCCTTTCCTATACAGGGCAGCTCAGCTATGGGGAGGAGGGAGAACACGTGCCTCACCCCTGATCACACTCAGGTCTGACCACATGTCAGGACAGAAAGGGGAGACACCAATAATATAGGGTGGAGGGGTGCCAGGTTGGGCCATAGAGGTCAAAAGGTTAACCTAGTCAAGACAAAGGACAGGCTATGGAAATTAAAAACCAGAACAGGGGGGAAAAAGCACTTGCATTAAGAATGAGCACCGAACATAAATGTTAAGGAAACCGTTAAATAGTATTATGATACTTATTTAACTTGAGTTTAAGCGATTAGCTGATTAACTTATAATTTTCATTTTTAAAGCAAAGATTTTCTGGTTTCTTAAGCAAACAAATTGCATTCACAAAAAAAAAGATTAATTATCTTGTAATTATGACTTACTTTCTCATAATTACAAGAAAAGATCTCACAATTATGAAATCAGGATCTTGTAATTAAAAAATCAGGATCTTGTTTATTATTAGTGGCAATAATGGAATTATCACATTTTAACTGTTTTATTTCCTTGTCGTTACGAGACAATATAAAATACTAATGTTACTTAATGTGGATTTCATTAATATTAGTGTGATGCGCTGGCATCTCAAAACGTTGGGTGGAAAGCCCAGTCTCACCTTCTGGAAGTTGGCCTCTTCCTGCAGGAGTAGTTAAACCTTTACATTATGTTTCATGGTTATAAATTCATGCATATCTAATTTTTTTTTCACCAGATCTTTTCTTGTAATTAGGAGATCTTTTTATGTAATTACAAGATAAGGTGTCTAGTTTTGTTTTGTTTGTGAATGTAATGTGCTTCTGTAGGTTCTAGCTTTTGAAATGTTAGGCTAATATTTGCTGGATTTCCTAGTCTTCTGCGACAATAAAATGAGTATCAAAATTGTTCGTGTTATTTAAGTTAAATAAATTCATCCTGTGGGGAACATGAATGTGTGTAACAATGGCAGTCGTCCATATAAAAGCCTCGTTGTTGAAACATTTCTCTTAAAACCCCAAATATCAACCTAATGGTGGCACTGGAATAAAACTCAAGAGATCACTAAAGAAATTAAGATATATCCTCTGGGGAACCTGAATCTCAGTACAAAATATGTGCCAATCCACTTAGTAGGTGTTAAGATACGTGACAGGATAAAGCTTTGATCTGCTGATGGCGTGAGAGGAAAAGTCATGAGATTACCAAAGTCATTAAGATTCATCTTTTGGCAGCGTGGATATCTGTATCACATTACATATCAATCTATCCTACTATGTTCATTAAAAATACAAAATGTTCAACCTCATGGCACCAACGAACAAGTCAGGTTTGGAACAAAGTGATGGACTGACCCTCCCTAGAGCTACAACACCTTCATGGCTTAATCATTAGTTTCAGCCCTAGAAACACAACAATGATGATAATAAATGTGCTTTCTTTGTTAATGAATATCTAATTTAATGTAGCAGCCCACACAGGCGTCTCTACGTGTATCACACATACATACACACACACACACACACACACACACACACACACACACACACACACACACACAACCAAGTGTTATTCATCGACAGGCTCTGTGGGAACCAGCATTAGTCCGGCAGCAGATTAATTAAACCGTTCTAATATCGCAGTTGTAATATCACAAAGACAACACTACAGGACAGACAGGCAGGAGGCACACTTCAATAATACTCTCTTAATAATGGCCATTTAATCGGTTGGGCTGCTGAGCTGCTTACAAGCACATACACACAGCTATTAACGTGCCAGATGTGAGAGAGATTAAACAGTTTGGGCCAAAACGGAAAAATGCCACCTTAGAAGAGCCAAAGTTCTTGGCATGTAATGCATTTACAGTTGATTTATTGGTTGGAGTGAAGCCATGGAGGGCCAGCAGTGCTGGTAGAACTATTCACCTTCCTGACAGGCAGTGTCAAGGGACCGCACACCCGCTCTCCTTGGATTTAAGTCTTTCTCCTCTTATTTGAGACACTGAAACAATAATTTCACACCGTGGAGATTTAGTGAACTCAGTGGCACAACAACAAAAATGGTAAATTACTGGCAACTGATCACAGCAACAGGGACCCCAGAGCTACTGAGCATAATAAAGTGATGTTTGGCACATGTTAAGACACACACAACACACATAAACAGGGGTGGGGGGGGAGGGGGATGGGCGGCTTGGCTGTAATTAAGTATGGTGGGCAACAGTAATACAGATATGATACTGGTTTTAAGCTGTGGTTTTAGAAACATGTTATACTATGAGCCCAGTGAGAGGACAAAAAAGCCACAATAAGCGGAATGAAAAAGCCTTTCAACTATGAGGAAACCAGCAGGCCTGTTCATAACATACACACAGAGTTTAAAGCACAGGATGGACCTTTTATTATGATGGGGACAGGAGAGGAAATGACTTAACACAAGTGGGAGTCAAACAGCTACAAAATGTTATCCTAACACTGTGCTACTTACACAGCTGCTCAACAGTACAATGATGTTTGAATGGGAAAAAACAACCTGAACATTGATGATTAATTGTGAAACTTAAAATGTGAAGATTAATTGTGAAACTTAAAATTGTGAAAATTAAAAATTCCAATTTGTTATTTCCATGGCATTGGAAAGTTCAATCAATATTTGTGAACATGAGATTACTCTCTGTCAGAAAGCCAGAAACCAGAGAACTAAGTCTCCAAGTTGGGATGTCACCAAGTATGAAGTCTGGAGCTGCTCCACAGACAATGAATGGGAGCCTGATTTTGGGACCCTCAGATCATTCCCCTGGGTGCTCTCACAGCCTGTTTGCACCTGGTATTTAAATACGTTTCGGTGATCTGCACACAAGTGGACAGCCGAGACACATCGCCATATCATTAATCTCCAGCTGACCATTTGTGTTCAGATTTCCTTACTGCCTACGTCACTTACACTAGAAGGGCCAAGGGTCTCACGTACAGTTATTACGTCCACAGCCTTGCTATGTTTGCTAGTCATGTTAGCAGTTGTCGGTACAGCTGGAGATATCACTGTCAGCACAATCCAACACGTCTCCTCCCATAGGGCAAAACGATGCAGTCATGCAACACTTCATTCAACTTGTCATAAAACAGGCAAGTTATAGAGCACCGTCACCAAAACAACCACCACGTCCTGCACTCATGGCATATTTTCCTGTTACATGCTTGTCAGGGACGGATCAGGGTGCATTAGCATTTACATTAGAACAGATATGTGGTCAAATGCGTCCTCAGCATGGGGTTTGAGTGACGGGATCATTACGTGTCTTGGTGGTCGTTTACACTTTTATTTAGCACTGTCCGCATGTTAATACCAAGTATAAACAGGCTCTCAGTGTCATCTATAAAACCTTTCATAATTCATTGTCTACAGTATGGAACAGCTCCAAACTTAACACGAGATGACATCACAAATTTGAGTTTTAGTGCTTCAGTTTTTGGATTTGGGAGAGTTGGTCATGTTTACTAATATTTTTGAAGTGTTTTAGACCATAGGAATAACATGTATGAATTTTTAAAATGGGTGCCGTTTCCCTTAAAAGGTCCAGGTCATATAATCTTTTTAATTTCCATGCTCGTTGCTGGCCATTGTATCTGTGTAATATTGTTTGGTAAATGGGAATTTGAATGTAAGAATATTACAAATTAGCTAATGAATAAATGACATATTTAGAAGCAAGTCTCAAATTGCAACAAAATTCCTAAATGATTATGATTTATATTAACTTCTCGTACATTATCTAGAAAAAGCCATCAATCAATAGAGGATTAAACGCCAACAATTCATAGTTGTATTTTCTTTAATATAAGACTGCTCATCATGGTAATATTAATATTCTTGGTTTTTGGGCTGTTTGTCACACAAAAACAATGTACTTTAAGATGTCACCTTTGTGCTCAGGTAAATTTCTATGGACATTTCTGTGTTAATGTATCACATGAAACAACTGATCTAAAAAAATAACTGCGATAACAGGGTTGGGCAATAAAGCAATAATTTGAGTCAGAAATTTGTCCACAGGAAGAGACTTTGCCATACAATTAAAACCTTGGTAGAAATTCCTTTAATATCTCTTAATAAACACTGAGCAAAATAAGATGGACTGCTTTACAGCAATTTTGCATTTTGCATACAGATTTTTTCAATCAATGCGATGATGTACCTTGATCTATCTTTTAAATTTGTTGTATTCACAGACACTCCTGTGTCCAGTTATTTTATCTAGAAATGGTTTCTCAGTTGAATTTCCAGGAAAAAAGAACAATTTTCCAACATATTTTGTCATGACAGATTATTAAATTACAAAGCAGCCCTAAACTGAGGTCATCACAGCCTCATTACACCTACATTTGGTGACACACTGGGTGTGAAAATAAAATATAAGTCAATTTGACTAAGATATAACAATGTTATCACAATAAATATGGTGCTTATAGAGATCAAAGTTAATTTGAACATGCGTTTCTTCACCTAGCTTTTCGCACACAGTCTGTGAACAAAGGTATCTTGCTGTGAAACACCATCATTCAAAGCTCTGACACAATAGCCCAGGTCCACTTGGGTCTGTCAGTGCGAATCAAGTTTTGTTTTTCCATTCACACCACAGTGCAAGACGGGAGGAAACATCCCCTTGTAGTTTATAGTGTCAGACAGATGCTTTCCCTGACGCTCCTGTGTGCCGGCCAATGTTTGTGAGAGAAGGTCTCAGGAAGGGGAAAGGTCAGGGAGTGGTGAAGGTGCTGGATCAGAGGCCTGATTCATCTCTCAGTACTAAGAGATGCCCCACTGATAGCACACTGATCTGTGGCCAGCTGGGTAAAAAGCTATGTTGTTTCTGAAGTAAAAAGCAGCTGCCAGCCTGAGATTACAGCTCACACAGTCTGCCATCGTGCCCATAGTGTTCACCACTCAGCAAGAAAGGAAGTGAAATATACATGTTTTCACTGGGCCAAACACACAAGCAAAGATGGATGATAATTCTTCAATAGTGGCCCTCCGCCACATCTTAGACAGACACATAATGAGACTGTGTTATTGTTTCCCACTGTTATTGTGAAGTTGTCTAAACATTTAATTTATTTTGCGAAAATGCGCCTCTACAATCAAAGGTCAAGAATTAATCGGATGTTAGAGAGGGATTTCAGAGTTCAGGAATGTTATACAAGAGGTATTTACGGGAAATTTGTGGAAGTCAATGCTGTGAATGGCACGTCAGATGCAGATTTTATATGGTGCTGATTTAGGATAACGTAAGCCAACTGAAGTGTAGAGTTTTCCTGCAGTTATCACGAATGAATTGGGACAATGGGACAATAAATGAGTTCAAAAGCACTAAAAAAAGCACTGGGCTCGCATTGTTGTTCTGAAAATCTGAAGAGGAGGAAATATTTACTTGGACATTTGTATCAACTAACTGGGGAGAATATAAATCAATGCTTCAGTCAGTGGATAGTGGAGAGTGAAACGTGTGTGAAGGCCTCTTTAACAGTTGATGTCCACCACACCCAGTCTGACAGACACTGACTGAGTTTACCAAACATCAACTGACACAACGACATTATAGTTTGTATATACGCAGTTATATACCGTTGCCCTTTAAACTGAGATTTCCTCTTCAAAACTCGTTTAATGAACCGAATATAAGGGTAAAGCAGCTCTGAAACTTTGTTAACGTTACATGCCAAACTTTAGCAAGCAACAGTTGTTACCGCGGATGGTGTCATGTTGCCAGCAAGGCTTCAACTAACTCTCCGCCGTCTTCTTCCCCCTGCTCCGTCTCATTCAAAAAGTTTACAAAAAACAAAAAAAGGACAACAAACCACTGAGCAGCTTCTTACCTGCGCGTAATTGGTAATTATTATTAATCAACAGGAGCTTCTTGCCTCTTGCCGCTGTCCCAGCCCAGGAAGGGAAACCCGGAAACCGTCCTCTTGAGTCCGCCCTCGTCCCTGAAGCTTTTCATGAGCAACGGCTGTCCTTCTGCGCCACTGACGCCATTACGGCTCAACGGTAGGGACAGCTGACCTGTGAGACGTAATTTCTTTTTAGATCCAACATGGCTGCCAAAGTGTTACAGTTTCTTTAACGATTCGCTCAGTAACGGCTTTCTCTCCCTGTTGCCTCATAATATCAAGGAAAATGTTTAATGTAAGCTTACTGTTTAACTATTTCATAAACTATAACTTGTCATTTTAAACAAACTCCAGCTGCCACAACTCCACATTTTATTGATTATAGGCCAAATTATGTTTTTATTACATTTCTAAATACACTAAAAAATTATGATAAAAATGTGTTCATTAACCATTTAAATAGGCACTTTTTCTCATTACTTAATAAATTAAAATTTTGTTAACAAAGCACAGCCTATAGCCTAATGAGTTTTTAAAATGTTTTTTAATAGAATGTAGATGGGTATAAAGCCACAAAATAGTTTATAAAGCATTTTAAATAAATTATAATTAGAATGTAAAAATTTAATAACTATTTTAATGCAAGATTTTTATACTTTAAGCAAAGTATTTTTACATTGATAGTGTCACTATGAGTAAAAACTTCTTCCAGTCCCAAATATGTCACATAAAAAGCATGTCCTGGAGTAAACTTACAGGCTGTGTGAACTTTATCTAAAATAAATAAATAAATAGGCCTCTATTAAAAAAACATTAAGGGCACTTGACAGGATGTAAATTTGAACAAATGTATTGTATGCCTTACAAATAAGGAAACTGAGAAGCCATTAGCCCACATTTCATAAATTATTCTTTACTGTGGGTGGTGCATAACCTTCCACCCAATCCAAAGAATAGAAACATAAAAACAAACAAACAAACAAACAAACAAACAAACAAACACAGGCTACATAAGAACATGTTAGAAATAGGATACATAATAAACAATACACAATGATAATAGCCTACTAATAATAATAACAACACACTTCTACTACTACTAATAATAATAGTCTAATAATGATAATAATAATAATAATAATGACAATATTAATAATAATAATCAGAACGACAGCAATTATCAATCCATAAGTAGAAATCAACATAAAAGTCAAAAGCAGCCTGACTTCAAGAGTGACAACGATTATTTTGGATAATCTAAAAGATTTCCTGAATTTACTGCGTGATGGTAAATTGTTCCAATCAAAGTGGGCTTCAAAACGTTTTACATATTTCTATAGAAACGGGAAAGGAAACAGAAAGGCAGAGGATCGTGATGACTTATTAAATACAATGGGGTATGCTGTAAGTACTTCAAATTAAAGTGAATGCATTTATAACTACTCTACACTAAGTCTCTTATTTTCCTTCTTCTTTTCTGGCATTTTAAGACAGCCAATTAGGAGCCTCGCGCATTTCAGAATGGGTGTGAAATGGCCATTTTAGGCTACATGTAAACCGCAGACAGGTGGCATAAGCCTCCATGTCTGAAAAATCAATAACAAGTTCAGTGATTCACCCAACCACTGCATTTCAGCTGCTCCATACCCTTAAAACCACCCCCCGTGCGCCTTCACCCCCTCTGCTGCCCCCTCTATTCATTGTAAATAACTGTTCAAACGCACAATGCGCTCTGGACCGCTTTATTCAGCCTCACGACTTCCCTGCGTTTTCATTGGTCCCCTGAGGATGCGGCAACGTCTGATTGGAGGAAAGTTTCTCCTCGAGTTTATACACCCCCACCCCGCAGATATTCGTGGTCCGGTGCTACTGCGATTCCAGTTGTTTTCACATCCCCTCACTAACAAAGAGACTAAGAGCTGCTGTCTCTTACATCTTCGAGTAAATGCGTCGAGTGATGCGCAGCTAACGACTGACGCTCCTGTACTTTGAGGCGACATCGAAGAGATAAAGAGCTGAAATACACCTTGCACTCAAGAGGAGAAATTAGGGGAGAGTTTTGAAAACTTTAAGACAGACTTGATTGAACCTAAAAAGCGAAAATGGTGTCGGCCGGACTGGAGATAATGGGACTATCGCTGTGCGTAATTGGCTCGCTCCTGGTGATGGTTTCGTGCGGGCTGCCCATGTGGAAGGTGACGGCTTTCATCGAAGCCAACATCGTGGTGGCTCAGACAATCTGGGACGGCTTGTGGATGTCGTGTGTGGTGCAGAGTACGGGCCAGATGCAGTGCAAGGTGCACGACTCCGTCCTCGCCCTCACCCACGACCTGCAGGCGGCCAGAGCCCTCACCATCATCTCCTCTGTGATGGGCGTGCTGGGGCTCATGGTTGTGATCGCCGGGGCGCAGTGCACCAACTGTATCCGCGCTGAGTACGTCAAAGCCCGGGTGGTGAACGCCGGAGGAGTCATCTACATCATCAGTGGTCTGTTCGTGCTGGTGCCTCTCTGCTGGATGGCCAACAGCATCATATCGGACTTTTACAACCCGCAGGTGCCCGCATCCAAGAAGAGGGAGATCGGCGCTGCGCTCTACATTGGCTGGGCTGCCTCAGCGCTGCTGCTGATCGGAGGAGCGCTGCTGTGTTGCTCCTGTCCCTCCAGCGGGAACTCTGGATACTCGGTAAAATACGCACCGACAAAGAGAGCCACGCCGAACGGGGACTATGACAAGAGGAATTATGTGTAGCTTTCTGGCTCATAGCAGGCGGTGCGTAAAATTGACCCGCAGCTTTTGAAAAACTGTTTTTGACGGACTTTATATTTGCACCTGCAGTTTTGTTTTTTTAATCTGAACTTTGAAAATCAATGGAAGAACATTTGCTGTTTTTACACTGACCATTCAATATGCTCGGACCACAAATTCACAAATCCTTTTTGTATGTACAGGAGATAAAGAAAGACTATCAACTACAAAGCTCACGACAAAAAGGAGTATCTTTGTTAGGTACCTGCTTTTGTAAGTCTTCGAAATTATTAGTATTTTGACTTGTTTACCGCTGTAACCGAAAAGTTTTTCTTTTCTAGAGGAACTCTTGCCATCAAATATATACAGTTTTTATATTTGCCTTGATGTGCTTTATCAGCACAAACTTGTACAGTAATTGAGAATGATTGCACTCCCACACATTCAAAGACCCATTTCCTTTAGTGGAACTACGCCGGCATGTTTGAGGACTCCAACAATGTCCAGTAAAGACCGAATAAAAAAAGTGCACACATGTTAAAGCCTCAATAAATCTCGGGCAGGCTTTTGTGTAGTTCACGAGTTGACTGCGGCGACTTTGAAGTCTGAGTCTATTTTTGGACCTGTAGATTCCGGAGAGCCTGGGGTCTGTATGTCACCACATGAAATGTTTATGTTACAGTCCGTTATTCGGTTGGGCTGAGCACCTGCAACGTTTTTGCATCATTGTCACTGCAGGAAGTCTTTTCTTTTCCAAACAGAATAAACTTTGTTTTCTGTTGTTTTGTTGATGTAATGATTCATTATTCGTGTATATGAAGATGCAATATTGTGTCATTTTATTAAGATTAAACTGAATATATTGTCTGAAATCTTAACGTGTGTTCTTAAACAAAACAACTGTGTGCGGAGGCAGGAGAGCTCTCCACGGCTGTGCGTAAAATGCATGCCGTTCCCACCGTGAATCCATAAACCCCCACGGCGGGAGAAAGTATTTTGGTTAGCCATAGAAATCCAGATGACAATGCCCATTCAACTAGAGTGGGGCTCTGCTGTTCAACTCACAATACTGCACAACCCCCACCCCCACCACCACTACCCCGCCTTTCAGACCACCCCCGCCCCTCCTCGTCCTCAGTCAATGAAAGGCGTTCAAATTAGAGCTATGGAGAAGTTGCTGGAATCGTCTTCCCGCAAGTCACTCCATTCATCCGTCGTCACAGCCCCATCTCCCTCCACCAGGGCGGTGCGAAGATAGATGGGCTTCACCACAAAAGATCACACACCATCACTTTGACGCAATTAGTTTATCCACAGCTGCTTCATGGGCACCACATTTATCCATACACTGGGGATGATTTACAGTAATAAAGGTATTAAATATAGGCTTCAAGTATAGGTTGTTTAACTTGTGTGGCAACAATAGAAAAACAAAAGATATTTCAGTCTATGAGTAACAGTCCTCTGATTTAACATTGTGACTGGATTACAAAAGCTTATCCATACTTGTTTTGCGGCTTACTTAAGAATCTTAGCAGGTCATATGCCCTCTTAAAAGTTGAAAATATGGCTGTGTGGAAAGTCTGACTACAGTCAGGGGAGTTTGTGACTTGTGCCCCCCAAGAACAATAAAATGAATATTCAATCATTTTCATTCTACTGTAGTTAATTGTATTATTTACCAGAGAATATCCTCCACATTCACAACAAATATTTCTGCATAGTTTATACATGTGACTAGGGGTACATCAGGTTTAACAAGACAATCTAAGCAAACTTCTCATATAGCACAATCATTTTCCAGAGCTTTCAACCTTATCACATAGTCTCCATCAGTGGATAGACTTTGCTTGGTTGTAATGGAGACAGATCTGTTATGATTTCAGCACTTTTAGGACATTTAATGTGTTTTGGACTAATAGCTAAGTATCAAAGTTCCTTTCTGACCTTGGAAATAGTCATTTGACAAAACAATCTCAACTCAAGATCCGATACATGTTTGTTGTAGTTGTGAAATTCAAATGATCAGACTCCATGCACTGATGACCACGTGATTTTTAATTAAAGGTCTGGAAAAAAAGTGTGAGTGTGGCTCATTGTTTTGTCAAATTATAACCTAATTATACCTTACATTATGTAATACTTACAAGGTCAAGAATGATCTTTCAAGTAGAGCTGAAACAGTGGGTCGATTAATTAACTTGTTGATCATGAGACAAGACAAGACAAGTGGTATATCACAGACATAATAAAGTACATACAACGAAAATAAAAACATACACTCAAAATGAAAACAGAGGATACAGCCTATGAAGTATTGCATGTGTCCTAAGAAAGATATAAATATATAGGCACCCACTAATGGCAATTGTTTTGTCAAATTACATCATAATAACTTTCAATACTTCCAAGGTCAAGAATGATCTTTCAAGTAGCACTGAAACAGTGAGTCAATTAATCAACTTGTCAATCATGAGATGAGACAAGACAAGTGGTACATCATAGACATAATAACGTACATACAATGAAAGTGAAATAATACACTCAAAATGAAAACAGAGGATACATCCTATAAAGAATTGCACATGTATTGAGAAAGATATAAATACATAGGCACCCACTAATGGCAATGCTGGCAGCCAAAATTGGGCCAGTTTATTTGTCCCAATTCTGGGGCATCATTCCTCTCAAGTCTCTGCTGAGTCGGGCAACTGGACACTGACCGTCTTATTTTGTCCAGCATGCCAGGTTTGGACCGATGCCGGGCCAGGTCCTTTTCTAAAACAGCCCAGTGATGGTGGTGCCAGCAGCCGGAATCGAGTCAGTTTACCAAGACTTAACTAACCTAGCTAGTAGGGCCAAAACAGTACATATATTTGTGTTGAACCGTTCGGTACGCGACTTTCGGTTCGGCACGACCCTGTACCGAATTATTGGGCGCAGGATATTATTTTATTTTATTTTGTTTTATTTTAATTCTGTTTTTGCGAGCTGAACCATTTAAAATATCTAGTTCCCCGATGGACATAATTGAGTGATGGACCGAGTCCGACCGTAAATCTCCGCCTTCACTTTGTGCAGCGCATTCTCGCATTTTGACAACATAGCAAGTGAGCCTGACGAACTTGAAGACCCACCCGCAAACCTTAAGTCCTCCGTTTGGGAACACTTTGGTTTCAGGGTAAAATACGAAGATGGAAATAAACAAGTGGACAAGACAAAAGCAGTGTGCCGAAACTGCAGAACAGCGGTCAGGTATGTACTTGGAAACACGTCTAACATGCTAACACATCTAAAGCGACACCACCCGAGTTTGAACGTTAACCGGCACGACTAGAAAAAGCAACCTGGTGCAAACTACGATATCGTCGTTTAAAAAGAAAGAGCGTTTCCCTGACCATCGCGCTAAAGAAATAACCAACGCCATTGGAGTTGAGTAAAATTGTTTAAGCTGACTTTAGATATTGAAGCATGTTTTGTTTACTGCACTTTAACAAAGTGGGAAAGCTAAGTAAGTTCCTAGTAAAACTGAATCTGAGCAGGCTTTAAAGCTGACCAGCTGCACTATACTTTTTGTTTTAACTGAGTAAAATAGTTTAAGCGGAAATTTATATTTATATTCTTCATTCAAAAAATGTGTAAAAAAAACAGCAGGATTTTATTTTTCACTTTTGTATTTCTATTTTCATTCAAACAATGTGAAAAAGCAGGATTTTATATATATTTGTTTCATTCAAAAATTGTGTAAAAAGAGTTAGCTGCTGTGTTGGTATGTTTTAATAAGGTTACCAATAAGTAAAAGATATTTAATAGTTGTCTATTTTTTTCATTACTTTACCGAAAAAAAAAACGAACTGTGACTTGTGTACTGAGGTACGTACTGAACCGTGATGTTTGTGTACCGTTACACCCCTACTAGCTAGTCTTCAGTGCCACGAGATACACGCAAGAATGTACATTTACTTTACTTCTTTACCATGGGACAAACAAAACTCCACCACTGACCCAAAATAACCACATAATACACCTTAAAACACCCCAATTCATGGGAATTATTAACAAAAAATCCCAGGCTGAGAGGCAGCAGGACCAGCAGTTCCCACACCAGAGGCCTCTCTCCTCTGCTGCTGGCACAGGAGCTCTTAAGCACCTCCTCCAAGCCAGGTGCAATGCACCTAATTAAGTAAATCAGCACACCTGGGCAGATCTACAATGGAAGGAAAAAGGACAGCACCACAGAACACATACAGCCATAACAGGCCCAATTCTGGGGCATCATTTAAGTTGGGTGAGGACACCAACTGGATGCGGCCAGACTTATTTCTTTCGGTGTGCTGCGTTCAGGCCACTACTGGGCCAGGTCATTTTGGCTACCTGGGCATTGTAGAAATTGGAAGGAAGTCATAAAAAAAAAGTGTAATACATAATCCATAAAACAAAACGTAATCGTGCTTGCTGGCAGATTTATGAGTCAGGATTAACCCTGTGTTCTTGATCAAAAAATTAATTAGCAGTAATTTATAACAAAAAGAAGATTTTAGAAGATTTTATAAAGAAAAAAGGGAAAAATGATCTGGCTCCAGCTTCTCAAATGTGAATATTTGCTGGTTTATCTCCTTTGATATTGAACTGATTATTGGGGTTTGGGCTATTGGACAAATATGTCAGCTTGGGCACTGATATCAGACATAAGCAAACAAAAAATCAACTCTTTGAGAAAATATTTGTTACTTGTATTCCCAGTTTCATGCTTGAGTATTATACTATAGCTTAAATACTATATTAAGATTCTGTTTAGGATTTAGGAGGATATAAGATTTTTGAACTCGTTAGATTGTTATAACTGGCCGGAATGACAAGATAAAGTAATGAATACTGTGATTTGTGATTTTGTCTGTACTGCCCAGCACTCGCAGTACAGCTGGCTACAGTAGGCGTTCCTATTTTGGGGTCTGTATGGGTTTTTCTACACAAAGACACTCCCTGTAAGGTCCAGTCTGGTCCGCCTCAGTGAGATGTTTTTGTGGGATTGTTAGTTCCACTCCTCTAGTCACCGCACAGAGGGTGACGAAGCGCAGGGCGTGTGTGTGTGTGTGTGTTATAGACCAAGGGGTTAAGTGAGTGTATGTGTGTGTCGAAAGAGTTTTGTGTGTGTGTGGGGGGTGGCACCTTTAAAAAGGGCCCTCATTCCAATGAGGAGAGAGGCAAATAGGGCCAGCGACGTCACTCAATGGGCTCGCCATGGTAACCAGCCAGAACCTGCAGTTGCCTGGTTACAGGAGCCTATAATGTGGTGGTATGGATGAGCCTAATAAAAGGCCTGGCCAGCAGACATTCCTGCGAGCACGGACACACACACACACACACACACACACACACACACACACACACACACACACACGGCCCACGCACAGTGGTCTAGAAGATGAAGGAGGGATTTACTTAAAGCCTGTAATGGTCACTGCAAAAAGAGCTGTGACAGCAGAAACACATTTGTTTCACTGTGTTTCTTTTTAAGAAGCAAAACGCTAAGTGTTGTGATAAATGTTGCAAATTAGAAACACAAACACTCACAACATGAGTATAAACACAGGAGAAATCTGGTATCTTAAAAATGTCTTACTAAAATAGATGATGTAACACTACAGAGAGCCATTTTGACCTCTAAACTTGACCTCCCCCAGCCAGGCGGAGCGAGGGCCGCATGGTTAAGGTCATGTCAGAAGTCAGTCAGGTTACGTAGTGGTTTCAGATTTGTGCTGCAGCCAGTGAGTGATGCGCATTTTTTGGGAGGTTGGGTTAGGGTGGGGGAGTTGTTTCTCATGACATGAACTCTGAACTCTGAATCTGGCCTCAGGTCAGGCGAGTTGAAAGTCACTTCCCTTGACTGACTAGGCATGATCTCATCGAAGGAGAATTCCCTGCATTTGATGGGGGGTCACAGCCCTCAACCCCGAGCTCCACATGCCGGCAAATAAACGGCTTCACCATCAATTAAAGGGAAGTTTGCCAGTTTGAAGTTTTATTTTGATGTAATGAGACAGATTCTTCAGAGCAGCGATGAATGTAGCAGTGAGTCATGAGATAAAGGAGACCTGATTAATGTTATTGTTGACTGACTCAGACTTACATCAGAGCCAGCAGGTGCATACAGTCCTCAGACATCCCAGCTGGACGGAGCTTACTCACAGATAGTAAAGCCAAGAGTCAGCAGGTGGTTAAACACGGAGGACAAATGTGGCTTTGTACACAGAGATAAAGACCACATGAGCCATTTGTTTGGGAAACAATGTTAAAGGTAAGAGAATGAGATCAGAAAAAAACCCCAAAACACCACATTTCTTTTCCCCTGCATGTCCGCAAAGTTTACAGCTCGGTGACTCACAAGTTTTTGTCGCAGCTCAGTAGCACGACCAGGCTTCCTGTGCAGTGGACAGCGGAACAGGAAACAGGAAGGAACATGGAGGGTGTGGGAGAGGAGAAGGGGTGGAGTGTGTGTGTGTGTGTGTGTGTGAAGGTTGGTGGTTAAAGCACTCCCAAAGAGACACACAGACACACACACACACACACACACACAGACACACCCCGTTCAAGGGAATTATGTATATAACTGTATCACAACTCTCACACAGCGTGCAGTATAATCCACA